ATCAGTAGACGCCCAGGAGGCGCGGAGGCCGGCAACCGGGGTAAACCGAGCCAGAGAGGCCAAGGAAAGGCCCGCCAAGGAGGCCTTAAGCCTTACCAATTGTCCCCCACGCCTGCCGCGACGTCTCCTCCTCCTCCTCCGGAATGGAAAAGCTGGGGCGCGACAAAGGTGAGCAGGTATTTCAGATAAAAACGGAGGCAGAAACTTGTGTCCGTGATAGTCAGTCTGCACTAGAGTTGGAACACCCAAGCGAAGATTCAACAAAGTTTGGCGATTGTATGACAGTAAAGAGTCCCCATTCCGGATGAAAAGAACAATAACAAAGAACAATACAGCACAAAAACACACAAGATTAGGAGCGGTAGATGGCAGGCCATGCACACTGGTGCCATCTTGAACCCTCCCCCCATCTTGAACTGACAGTACTGCCATACCATTAACCATACCAGTGAGCTGTGGGAAAAACTGGACCAGTGCCTCCACCTCACCAGAGCAATGGTCCAAGCCGCAGGAAGAGCGCTGGGCATCATTATCCTGCAGGAGAGAGCAAGGTGGCTGAACATTTTGAACATTGCGCCTGCACCTGCATTTTGGGCCTCTCCGGGAGAGATAAGTGAGATATCCTAGATAAAAGTGTTGACTCTTTTGGCCTCTTTGGCACTGCAGTTGCCACCATGTGAAAAAGAAAGAGGGAGAAGCCATGTAGCTTTGCCTCCCAAGAAAGGCCCGGGTGACATTCACCCGACCCCCGTGTCACACGTTTGTACAAGTCATTCATTCAGCCAATGTGCCAACATTCAGAATCCCTTGCCGTCTGGCTTCTCAGATGACTGCACCAGGCTCACTGGGATTATAAAACCCACCAAGTCAATATTGTCTTTAACATTGGATGGCTGCAAGCTAAGGACTTACTTATGTGAGGGCTATTTGACAAAATGGTGACGTGGCACATCAGATGACCTGGCCTCCTCTGTATATTAACTTAACCTAAACCCAGCTGAGATGGTTTGGGATGAGTTGGACATTAGAGTGAAGGAAACAGCCAACAGGTGCGAAGTCCTGCTGGGAAAGCAATCCAGGTGACTACCTCATGAAGCTGGTTGAGAGAATGCCCAGAGTGTGCAAAGCTGTCATCAAAGCAAAAGGTGCTTTTGCTCCTAAAGGGCTCGGCCTTTCCTGGATGCCACGGTTGTACCAAATCACCTGTTGACATCATCATTTCATTGTTTTACCTCATTACTGACCCAACCTTGTCTGATGTGGGGTTGTACATGCTAGAGTAATGCAGCAAAGAACTAAAGCTTAAAGGCAAATGTCTCCCTTAACCCTGGGTTAACCGCAACATCACATGTATCATTCTTAACAAAAAGCCCACATACACCTTAAACTATTATTTGCAGGCTTGTGCTGCATTTGTTTTCTGCATGTATTCAGTGTATACTCAATACACATTGGCCCTGACAGATGAAAATAAAAAGGTAGGGAAAATTACCTGAATAAAAGGTACATTGGTAGAAACACTTAGTTCACTTCCTTTTGAATTAAAATCATAATGATGCACATAGGTCACTCTCCATTGAAGCTACTCAGATAGCAGACACAATAACAAGCAGAAATATACTTCACTCTCAAGTGTTGTTGCAATCTTATCTCAGTTAACTGTGCAATGAAATGAGAAGTCACAACTGTCACCCCCTCATTTAGAACATCCTGATCCTGGTCTTTGATTCCTTGATGGCATTGTGATCAGGGTGAATGACTATGGGTTGACTTTTTAAGATTGCATTGACAGGAATGTAGTCATTCAGTGGAATTTTATATGCTGCTTTTCACATTTCATTAACATTGTCACATCAGTGAAGGCTATTGACTTTTGGGCTTCTCTGCACAAGTTGTAAAGCTAACATGCGTCCTTTTGTTGTCTCTGTGTGTGTTTGCATCTTTGTTCATGATTTATATTCTATTAATTTGTTGCTTTGTTGGTTGGTTAATGGTGTTTTGATTGGCCAAATTTAACACTACCACAATGGGTCTTAAATATAGTAGGTGACATTTTTTTAGTAATTTGACGGCTGTGGCTCAGGAGTAGAGCAGGTCATCTCCTAACTGAAAGGTTGGTGGTTTGATTCCCAGCTTCTCCAGTCCATGTCAAAATGTCTGTGAGCAAGACATTGAACCACAAGCTGCTCCCAGTGATATCATTGGTGTGTGTGCTTAGCAGTGTGAAAGTGCTTTGAGTGTGCTGCAATGCATAGAAAAGTGCTATATAAGTATGACCATACAATAAATCATGACAAAATGACTGTTAGCTTTGGTTTTTTATACTCACTCCACAACATTTTAAAGGGAACTTATTGTACTTTTTAGTCCGCTACAGTACATTGACTTGACCTATCAGTCCACCTGTGGTTCAGGTGGTAGGGTGGGTCATCCTCTAAGAGAGGAGAATGGTGGTTCGAGTCCCGGCTTTTTAAGTCTACATGTCAAAGTGTTGGGCAAGATACTGAAGCTGCTCCTGATGGCCATGCCATCAGTGTGTGAATGCTTGTGTGGGTGAATGGAAGATAGTTTAAAGTGCTTTGAGCTGGCTTCATGGCATAGAAAAGTGCTATGTAAGACCATTTACCAAGACCATATAGCTGCTAGTTAATAAAGCCAGATTAAATTACAAACCCTGTGCTGAGCTTTTAAAAGATTATCTTACCAACCATCTGTAAAGCCCATCAACCAACTGCCAACAGTTAAAAGCTACAATGATATCAATAATCAAGTAGCTTAGCATACTGTATATTTTCCTCACAAAGTATTTAGACATTTTGCACAATTTGTGGTGTAGATTTAGTTTTAAATGGCTAAAAATATTATGTTTGCCCATCAGTCTACACTCAATAACCAGTAATGACAAAATGAAAGTGTTTTTCAACATTTTTGTAAACTTATTAATAATCAAAAACAGAAATTTTGGCATTCCCTGGTAGCTGAATGGTTACAGTACATGCCACATAACTGCGGTGTCCAAGGTTTGATTTTGGCTGGAAACCTCTGTTGCATGTCAAACTCTCTCTTTCTGCATGTATTCTGTTTGTGTCTTCATAATTCACTGTCAAATTAAAGCAAAAAAAAAAAAAAAGCCAATAAACCAAAATTTCTGTGGTCAGTGCATTCTGTTTGTATATCTATGATAAAACTATGTACTCTTCCTGGAGATGGTTATCCAGGCAAACTGAGTAACCAAGCAGGAAAGGCCTTGGATAAGACATGCAGTCCTATACAACAGGTTATAAAATAAAGATAATATGGTTTATCATTTTCTGTGTCATTACAATATTTTTTCTCCCTAGTGTCTGAGATGGTCATTGAAGAGGTCAGCGCCATTCAGGAGAACCTGCAGATCGAGAGGATGTGCAGAGAAAGCGCTGAAGCCTTGGCTTCCAAGGTACAATTCATCTTTTTACCAATATTGTCTTCAGTGCTGTTCAAAGACAATGAACTGGCAGTCTGTCAAATCATTGGTGTTATTTTGTGTGACTAGCATTGCTTGACTTGGATTCAGTGCAATAGAACAGGCTCACAACCAAGAAAATTGAATCATTATGTTAAAACCAGATGTAATCACAGTTGTACAGTCTGTTGATTTAGAAGAAGCTTGGCTGAATAAATGCTACAGTATCAAATCAGCCATTTAAGATGACACTCAGGTTAGTGTATTCCAATAACTGCTTCTGCAAAACATTCATTTTGTATGTTGCAATCAAAAGCACTCTGTGGGCCTCCAGTTCTACTGCTGTCCCTGCATTTTAGTGTCTAAAATTGCAATAGATTCTTCTGATTCAGGGCATACTTTTTGGGGTCCTTGCTAAAATGTAGTTGTGACTGAGAGGGGGGAAGCTTGGCACCTAGTGATTTTGCAGCCCACTGGTGTCGAGCTGATCACATGATAATTCCTCATTCAATTTCTGGACAAAAGCCCTCACAGTCCACCTGGTTGGACCAGATTTTGGGTAATGGGAGGCTGAGGGAGAATTATGGTGAAGTCTGATTTTTAAGCTTGTTTTTAGCCTTTCCTCAGACATCACTCCTCTTTTTTCCTTTGGCTTGTTTTTCATCTTGTGTGTTTTTCAGCTGTTCAAGCTGTTTTTCATCTTGTGTTTCTGGCTGCTGTCTATGTTAGCCCAAGAGCTAATCCCTCGGCAGCTCTCGGCAAACTCCACGACATCATCAGCGCGCTAGAGACAGCCTATCCTGACGCTGTTTTTATTGTCGTCGGCGACTTTAACCAGTGCAGTCTACCTGCTGTACTTCCCAAATATCACCAACTTGTGTACATTCCCACTCAGAATAAGAATACACTGGATGATGTTTACAGTAACATACGGGGTGCATACATGGCACTTGGAACGCTCAGACCACATTTCTTTGATCCTGTATCCAGCTTACAGAGAAAGACTGAAACAAACAAACCCTGTCACCAAACAAATTAAACTCTGGACCCCAGAGTATGATCTATGAAATAAAAGAACAAAACCTGACTCCTGGCAGAATAATCTAATGTGCCTACTGTGCATCTGAAAGTGTAAAGAAAAGAAAATGTGATATAATAGTAAAGCTGATAGACATAAGTTAGCATATGTAAGGCACATAAATTGATTTGTTTGACTCTAATTTAAATGTTCTGTCATTCTCTTGTCATGAACTCATTATCTAACCACTGGGAGAGTGGAGCTCAGGTTATATGGGTATGGCCGTTTATTAACATTCTCTGTAGCCATGGATAGGAGTTGTGCCTTAAGCCTCCTCGTTCACTGGATCAAACTAAGGTAAGTCCTGCAGGACATTGCGTTTACATGCATAACTGCTAAGTGGAAAAATGACAGACTCCAAAATTTTGTTCCAAGCAGGACACAAGACAGCAAAGTAAGAATTTCATTGTACAGGGAAACACGTTGCCTTACTGTGCACATGACAACAAACACTTTGACCTTGACCACAAGTGTGTATATCACCCGTATATCACATACTTACTGACAGGAAGCTTCTTTTATCTTGTGCCTCACACCCAGACATTTGAGAAATCCGTTTCAGTGTAAGCCCACTGAATATGCTGTGATTACTTTTGCTGTAGTATTTAATTTGTCATGCCAGTGTTTGCTGGGCTGAAAAGTCCAGGGTTAGCACAAAGTGAATATTTACAGTAACATCTGATGATACAAAAGCAACTGTGATGAATTACGATTTTCTCGAAATATAGGAGCAAAATTATTATGCCACATTTATTTTCCCACTGACTTAGTGCAAGAATTGGATTCAGAAAAGACATAATGTATCAGGCTATGTCCACAGAAGAGGGCCACTTAGAGACAGCAGTAAACTAGCCTGCTCCTCAT